TCATCCTTCAGAGCCCTCCATGTAGCTAGCGTTCTTTGCGAATGTCTCGAGGTGGCCAGCAGGCGCTGTCTGCTCGCGGCCTGTGCGGGCCGCTCGTCCTCCTCGCCCTTCTTTCGTCCTCCCGTCCCTCCCCTCCACCATGGCCTCCTCGGCACTTCTTTCTCCATCCGCCTCGCCCTGCCTTTTCGTATCGTGCCGTTCGCCCTCCATTCGGTGACCTCCATGGCTGTCCGTCCCCTTTTGGGTGGCGCTCTCGATACCGTTGCGTCAACCTCGACATCGCTGTCGCCCTCCCCGTCCCCGTCGTCGCCCGTGCCTCGGTTCGCGTCATTGGTAGCGTTTCCGTCGTCACCTGCTCCGCTCGTTAACATGGCATGGCATGATTTTCCTTTTTTGAACTTAGGTACGCACTTTGCGAGACGGGAGCCAGATTGGTGAGAGACGCTGGCGCTGTGCCGTCATCTCCCGTCGGGAAGACGAAAGCTCTGTGGGTCTAGAGTGACGAACTCATGTGTAATCCTGGTGATCTGGTTCGTGGAGATCACGCACAGAAGAACGGAGAGAACGATCTGTTTTCAGCGTTCATCGCACAGTCTGGGCGGGAGACTGTGCGCGGCAGTCATGTGCACCCGCCCAGAGGCAGAGGATCAGAGCCGGCGCGGCTGAACCACGAGAGCTCGCAACCGGCCTCACCACGAGAGCTCGCCCTCGTAGTGGTGCTCAAAGATCTCGCTCACGCCGGACCACCACTGCGCGCCCGAGCTCGAGCCGCCGTCTGGATCGCACCCTGCCAGCCCGCTTGTGAGAAAGTCGCGCACCGAGAAGTACGGCACGTTTGGTACTTCCGAGTACACGCCGGCGGCTCGGAACCCCTCGGCTACCGCGGCGCAAATGTGCTCGCCGATGGCGGTCGGTTCGAGATCGGCGCGGCAGCAGGCAACGAGCTCATCAAAAAGATCTTCATCGAAGCCATCGCGATTCGCACCCGCGATCAACTCCTCCAGGAACGCCAAGCCCTGTCGCGACAGCCGTTCCAGGTTCGCCTTGTCGAGCACGTCCCAGTTTTCAGGGTCGCTCATGACCTCGATTTCCGGCAAGACTTTCGCGACATAGAGGTGCACGCGCAGGTACTGCTCGCGCTTGGGGAGCGCCGTGAATGCCGCTTGCCCAAGGCGCAGCCGTGGGTCAATCCAAGAGTCAGGCAGACGCCCGTTCCCGCGCGCGGACTGCATTCGCTCGTAGTGGCACATGTCGAGGCAGTGCTGCTCAAGGGCAGCACGGGAGGCGTGGCGAGCTCCGCAGCAGGTGACGGGGAATTCGGTCGTGACCCAGACGCGCTCGCGCTCGCTCGGAGCGCGGCCCCGCTGAGCGCTCGGGTAGCAGCGATGCTGCAGACCCATGTCGTCGATCTTGCGATCACCCTGTCCACTGTTCTCCGGTGTGAGGTACGGCATGCGGAGGGGAGGACCATCGTAGGCAGGTAAGAGAGGGTCTTGCTCGAGCAGGTAAAGGAAGTTTCCCTCGAAGTCGCGACGATCGAACGTGTAGCGCGCGCACAGATCTTTGGCGCGGGATGCCCAGACGGCGTCGCACCGAGCGACCCGAGCGCACGTTTTACTGACCTCAGCAACGAGGTCCAGTTCAGGTTCTTCCAGATGGCTCAAGATGCGGATACACTCGTCGTCGGACAGCAAACTGAAGGACATTGCTCGCGACGACAACAAGCGACCCACAAAGCGAAAGCCGCGCGCGCCTCACTCCTCGTCAGCGTTGCGGCTCTCGACGCTGCGCAGCACCTCTCGCGGAGATGGCCGCCCGGCTGGCCTGGGCGTGCAACTTCAGTCGGCCTCAGTGGCGCGTGTTCTCACCAGAACAGTGCCTCCGCGGCGCTGCGGCGGCGCCCGAAAGGCCGATCCGACCCGGCAGCCCCCCGGAGCGTGCATCCAAGCGTCCGCCACCGCCGGCTCAGCCCCGGCTCGACATGACTCTGGCCCGCGCGGGGTCGCCGACGGCGCCGAGTCGGCGCCAGAGGCACGCCCGGCGGCCGGATGGTCGCCTCGAGCGCTGAGCGGCTGCCGCCACGGTCACTTACGCTCGAGTTGCGCCAGGTGCGCCTCTCGGTGGCCCGGCGCGGCCGCACGTGCTCTCTGTAGATGTCTGCTCTCACTCGACGGCAGGCGTGCTCCGTGCTCTCGCCCGATTCTCTCCCTGCCGCCGGCCTCCGCCCCCGAGCGACCGCCGCCGCACACCGACTATTGCCGGTATGACTGCCGTCCCTCACTCAGCCGTCCGTTTGTCCTCAGCGCTCGCACGACCGACGTTCTTCCTCCTCTGCGGCCTCGCTCGGGCCCGCTCGTCGACACGCGCAACCAGCAGACGCCCGTGTCGGAGCTTCTGTGCCGGCTTTGAGCTTCCATCGCTGATGGGGGCACGCCCGGCCCGGCACTCTCGCACACCGTGGAGCGCGGCACCGCGCGCGCTCACGCCGCCCACCTTTGCTGCCTGCGCAGGTGCGGCTCTGTCCCGGCGGCTCACTCATCGAGCACCTCACGGCTGCGCGGCGGCTCACTCATCCGCACCACCGCGACCGGTGCGCCATCCCACATCACGCCTCTCGCCCACGTCCACCCGCACATACACTCTCTCACTCTGTCATGAGTAGTCTTCAATCGACACGGTCTCTTGGAGTAGTCACATCAGCACCGGCGCCGGCACAGCGCACCGCTACACTCGCCTCCGTTAGGTTGCAAACATCGCCCTCAACATCCGCTTGCGCCTCACACGTCCGGGGGCAGTGTCGCGTGAGCCACAGCTAAGCACCGACGCCAGGCTCTTAGCTGTTAGCTCTACGTGTACGTGTGTGTGTGGTGGGGGGGGGAGGGCGGCGTAGTCAAAAGAAAAGCCTCAGTCGAGAGAGGCTAGTAGCCCCTTCGAGTGCGGGCTCCGCGCCCGTCTTGTCCTGGCATATAAGAGAGGCGAATGGGACAGGGGTTGAAGGGGTACACGCTTGGTACCCGGCCGTTTTTCGCGTTTCTCTACAAAACTGTGTCCAAGCCGAAGGCCCGAAGCGCAGGTCCGAGCTCGACATGCGACCAACGTGGTCCCGCACACCAGTGCTCGTGCTCGCACGTGCGGCCGCCTCTCCTGCTCGACTACTCGTGCTCTGCCTCTGCGCGCTCGCTGCGTCCGTGCCACTTCTTCGCTGCCTCTCGCCGCTGCTCCTGTCCTTGACTGCGCCTCGGGTCGAGGCGCCAGCAGCAGCGTCAATGGAGTGGCTGGTCCACACTGCAGCAGCGCCGCGGGCGGACGCGAGAAGGCAAACGCGACCGTGCCGATGAGCGCGAGCAGAAGCAGCGGGAGCGCGGGGCAGCACGACGGGTCGGGCAAGTTCTTGGCCCAGCGCCGCGCCTTGCCCATGCTGCCGCCGCCGCCGCCGCCGTCGGCGTCGCCGACCACAGGCTCGTCGTCCGGCGCGGCATCGTCGTCGGCGGCAGGGGGTGGGGGGTCGGCGGGCACGTCCTCGTCGTAGCCGTCGTCATCGGGATCAGGAGTGGCGTATCGCGCGGTCGACATGCCGGCGAGCTCGTCGACCGTCGAGTAGGTGCCTGCGACCGAGCACGGGGGTGCGTGACGCTCGGACCGACGCATGGGACCGGCTCTTCCGCGCGTCGAGAGCGGCGACGCTTTCGAGGCGCGCGGCAGAGGCCCGCGGCGTGCTTCCGAGCGCGTCCGCGGCCGCGACGCGGCAGCGGGAGGTGCCCCGCCCACCAAGGCAGCCGGCCCGGCCGCTGCGGGGCCGTCGCGGGGGCGCAGGCGGGCGGGGCGACCTCAGATTTCGCGGCTGGCAGCGGGCGCCGCCAGCCGGTGGCGTGAAAGAGCAACAGCTACAGGCCGTGTGAAGGTTCGCGTCAGTGCCTACGAGTGCGAGATGGACCCGTCCTGGGAAGGCAAGCCCGAGACGGTTGTCAATGTTCGCGGGTGGCGGAGGGAGCATATGCAGGCAGGACTTGAGAGAATCCGCTTGTTTTTCTTCCAAATTTGCTCCACAGGCTTGGTCAAATCAAGGGCCAAGGCTGCGCTGGCGTAATGTGCCGACGAGAATGGCGACACATTGCCGACAAAAACACCTAGTTTGTATTTCAACCAGCACGCTCACCTGCTTTACCGTTAGCTCATGCCTCATCCCTCAAGCCTCGTTTTGTTTGTCAAGCCTCAAGGCCCAAGAGAGAGAGAAGAATCTCTCTCTCTCTCTCAAGGCCCCGCCAGCTCCACCTCAAAAGGGAACGGCCCTCCTGTTCCCACAAGTGCGCAGATACGCTGGCCAGAGAGTGCAGAGACCCTAGAAGCGGAGACCCAAGTAGAGCTGTAGAGGCCGTTTGTAGTCCGACTAGCACTCGAGAGGACGCGGTCAGCTGTACTCCGCCGTGCTCGCTTGCATCTCTATGCATCTCGCCGTATCACTGCCTTCGCAGCCCTCGTGTTCTCGCGGTGCTCTCAACACACCGCGCACCGTACTCACACCCTGGTGTATTCACACCGCAGGCGCGGGACGCGGGCAGCGGCCGCTGCGGCCGCACGACATCCGCGTCTCGTTCAACATCGCCACCGGCTGGGAGGCGCGCCCGCTCCAGGTGCCGCGCCCCACCCTGCCGGCTCGTCACACGCTCTCGGAGGTCAAGATCGCGTCGGGCGGCGCCGCCCTCCCTCGGCCGCAAGGAACCCGCCCCGCTATTCCCAACGAAGCTTGGAGAGGAAGTGGGTGCACATGCGCACTCCAGCAGACGTGAAGTGGGTGCCGCACTGAGGGCACCGATAGTCGACCATGCTTCCGCAGCTCATCTCGCCGCCTTCTGTGTACTCCCAGTCCCACGCTTCAAAGGACAAGCCGGCGCGCGGCCAGTTGCGGTCGGCGTCGGCGCGGGCTGGATCCCACTCCTCCTCACCGTCTTCCCCATAGGGGCCGAACTCACCGAAGCTCCGGTGCATGACGGAGGGCTCCGTTGCGAGCAGGAGCCGAATGTTGAGGTGTCGGACAAAGGTGCACTCGTCGTGTCCAGTCATGCCAGCCGAAAACTCTAGCCAGCCCGCTTCACCTGGCTGCGGCAGAATTCGCCCTTCCCAGCAGCTTCGCCCTTCCCAGTCGTGGAGCAACGCCCGCACGGCTTTGCCATCCTTGCGAAGCAGCGTCATCGAAATGTTGAGATGGGCAACACTCTGGAGCTTGTGGAGCGTGTCGTTTGACATCTCCAGCGGCGTGACTGCTGGCGCGTCGAACTGGCCATCGTGCGGATCCTGGTACAGATTAAAAACCGACCCGTACTTGTCGGTCCAGGACATGCTCTGATCAGTGGGCAGGGCGTGCAGAGGAAGCGCTTGCTGGAAGATGCAGCCGGCATCCGACCGTGCGTCTACGAGAAGAACGACATCGGAGGGCTGCGTTGGTGACGGCGTCTGGACGAGGCTGCGAAATACTGCCTGTGGGTCCCAGTCATCCATGGCCAACGCCGTCAGACTCGGAAAGCGGCGAAAGAACAGATATTGCCATAATCTTCTCTCACGGCCGAGCCGCGCGTGGAGCCTTGATGCGCACGCCAGCCGACACACGCTCACGGGATTGTCGCACAGCTCGAAAGTGCGGCGCCACGAGTCATCGTCCATCACTATTGCTGCAGTGGCGGTGTCGGCTCGCCGAGGGCCTTCTGGCGCTGTGCAAGCAAAAAATAACGCATTGGTCCGCAGCGGAGCTGGGAATAGAAACGCCGCAAGCGGCGTGGCGTGGAGCGGTTGAGCATCCCTCCGGGGGCCCCTCTGCGCCGGGGAGGCGTTGTTGGAGGCTAGGACGCAAGCGTCCGTCGCCCTTTTCAAACTCGGGGCCCACTCCGCTACGCTCCGACCCGAATTTGGAGGGCCTAAAAGTTTAAGGTGTTGCTGCGCAAAAGGGGTCGGACACAGGGCGCAGCTCATGCTAAGAGCTAGAAGGGGAGCTAGAGAGAACGACTACCCTGTCCCGTTATTGCGTACACCCAAGACCACGAAAGCTCTCTCTCTCCCTGTCCTCACTCTACAGAGCACAGAGGGGGGTCACAACTACCGAGTCTCTCGACTAGCTGCCACGTTGCCGACCGAGAGCGGATCTCCTCCTGCTCCGCAAGGAGGGTGGCCAAGGCTAAAGTCTTGCCGGAGCCGCTGATGACACATTCATGACGCCCGACGACCATGGGCGTCGGCGACGGGCCCACGCGGCTGAGCAGGGGCGCGAGGTTCCCTTTTGCATCGGCAACAGCCGCCCTCGAGCCGGCTGGATCTCTCCAAGTCCCTAGCCGGGACGCTGTGTGCTGCTGTCGCGAAGGAGGGTTTTTGGACAGTCCTCCGCGGTGACTTGGGGCGATTGGAGCCGCAATGGAGCTCGCAACGGAATGACGAGGCGCATGTAACGACCCCCGGGGGTCCCGATAATCGAATTGAGGAGGACGGGCGGTCCCATTGTGTGTAACGAACTCTCTGAACGCCGCACGAGAGTCGTGTGAGAGCCTCGGAGAGAGGCCCTGTCGTTCAGTCTCGGGCGGCCAACAGGCTCCTGACAACCTGTGTCACCCGAAATCCATAGTGTCACTCCAGATCCATAAAATGTCGCATTTGCAGCGCATTTTGTTGCAAACAAGTGTGCAAATGGTTGTTTTGACCAGTACTCACCTGCCCCTGCAGAGCATGCGCATGCTAGCTCTCGTACATGCACTCTCTCTTCCGTCCGCACCCGCACGGTACCCCTTACGGAGCCCACCATGCCGCTCGCACCTGGCTCGCACCCACCCACTATGCGTGTCATGCCAGCAGTGCTATGAGCTAATCACTTGGGGACGCCCATGAAGCCCAAGAACCTGGCCTGACTCTCCCGCTCACTCTGCTCGCGTGCGCGCGAAGCGTTGAGCTCGGCCAGCATCATGCCCTGCGCAAAGGTTGGGGAGAACATGCTCCCGCCCGGCTGTGCAAACACGGAGGGGGCCGTCTCTGCATCGCGAGTGCGATAGAGCGGCGCCGCCGGTGCCGGCTTGGCCCTCTTGCGGCGCTGCCCCTGCGGCGCATCCCTCGGCGGTGGCGGCCCGGGTGGTGGTGGCGGCGGCGGAGGCGGCGGCGGAGGCGGCGGCGGAGGCGGCGGCGGTGGCGGCGGCCGCGTCCACGTCGTCTGCTTGTCGACCGAGTTGTAATAGTAGGGGCGCCCATTGCCGTCCACGTACTCGGTCCAGTCCTTGCCGATTTCGGCCTGGCTCTCCTCCTCCTCCTCCTCCCCCGCCTCGTCGGCGTCCGCCTTCTTCTAGGGTACCCAAACTCCGGGGCCGGTGTGCGGGGAGCGAACCTTAACGGCCGCCCAGAAGCTTTCTGAGCGAACCAATCGGGCCAGGATCATCAGC